GTTGTTGGAGGCTTTGTCAGAGATGAGTTGGTTGAGGATTTGAGGCTTTGCTTCCAGGATCTCTATCCTGTTCTGTGGGTCTATATGCCTATTCTTGTAGCGATACCAGGCTGCTTTGATTACTGTAGGCTTATAGTAAATTTTGAAGTCTGGAAGTGTTATACCTCCTGCTTTGTTTCTTTTGCTAAGGATTGTTTTAGCTATTAGTGGTCATTTATGTATCCATATGAATTTCTGTATTGTCATTTCCAGGTCTGAGAAGAATGATGTTGGTAGCTTAATGGGTATTGCATTGAATATGTAGATTGCCTTTGGTAGGATGTCTTCTTGAATTTCTTTGAGGAGTGTTTTGTAGTTCTCATTGTAAAGGTCTTTCACTTCTCTGGTTAGGAAGATGCCGAGGTATTTCTTTCTTTCTTTTCTTTTTTTTTTGGTGGCTATTGTGAATAGGATTGTGCTTTTTTTTCTTAGTTGGAGTCTCACTCTGTCGCCCAGACTGGAGTGCAGTGGCTACTCCCAGCCACCACAGCCTCGACCTGCTGGGCTCCGGCAATCCTTCCACCTCGGCCTTCCGTGTAGCCGGAATTACAGGCATGTGCTACCACGCTCGGCTGATTTTTTGTAGAGAAGAGGTCTCACTGCCCAGGCGGGTCTCGAACCTGCTGGCTCAGGCAATCCACTCACCTCAGCTGCCCAAAGGTGTGGGATTACAGGCTGAGCCACCGAGCCCGGCTGGATTGTGCTTTTTTATTTGGTTCTCTGCCTGCTTTTTGTTGTTGTAGAGGAATGCAACTGTCTTTTGCACATTTATTTTGTACCCTGAGACATTTCCAAAGTCCTTCATCAGTGCAAGCAGGCTTTTGACAGATTCTCTTGGATTTTCAAGGTATAGGATCATATCATCAGCAAAGAGGGATAACTTGATTTCCTCTTTTCCTACTTGGATACCCCTGATTTCCTTCTCTTGTCAAATTGCCTAAGCTAGGACTTCCAATACAATATTGAACAAGGGGGTGAGAGTGGGAAGACTTGTCTTGTTCTAGTTTTCAGGGGAAATGATTCAAGTTTCTGACCATTTAGCAATATGCTAGTTGTGGATTTGTCGTAGATAGCACTTACTATTTTGAGGTATGTTCCCTCTATACCTAGATGTTTGAGGGTTTTTATCAAGAAGGGATGCTGGATTTTATCAAAAGCTTTTTCTGCGTCTAATAAGATAATCATATGGTTATTGCTTTAACATCTATTGATGTATTTAATGACATTTATGGTCTCAAAAATGTTTAAGCAGCCCTGCATCCTGGGGATGAAGCCTACTTGGGCATGGTGGATAATATTTGAGATGTGTTTTTGGATCCGATTAGCTGGAATCTTGTTGAGGATTTTTGCATCTATGTTCATATGGGATATTGGCCTGTAGTTCTCTTTCTTTGTTGAATCTTTACCCGGTGTGGGTATCAGCGTAATGTTAGCTTCGTAAAATGATTTGGGAGAGATTTCCATCTTTCTCAATTGCCTGGAATACTTTTAATAGCATTGGTATCAGTTCCCCCTTGTATGTTTTGTAGAATTGTGCTGGAAAGCCATCCAGTCCAGGGCTTTTTATTGTAGGTAGTTTTTGTATGATAGAATCCATTTCCTGGGTCGTTATTGGTCTATTTAGTGTCTCAATGTCTTCTTGTTTTACCTGGTTAGGTTGTCTGATGTCAGAAAGTCCTCCATTTCTTCTAGGTTTTCAAGTTTATTTCCATATAGGTGTGCATAGTAATCTCTGATAATCTTTTGTATTTCTTTGGGGTCAGTTGTGATTTGACCTGTTGTATTTCTGATTGTGTTTATTTGGGCTTTTTCCTTCTTTTTCTTGGTCATTCTAGGTAGGGGTCCATCAATCTTGTTAATTCTTTCAAAGACCCAACTTTTTGTTTTGTTGTTGTTTTCTATGATATATTTGTCCTCTATTTCCTGTATTTGGGCTCTTATTTTTGTGATTTGCGTTCTTCTGATAAAGTTGGGGTTTTGGTGGTCTTCTCTTTCCAGCTCCCTTAGGTGATTTGTTAGGATCTCCACTTGTGATCTTTCCATTTTCTTCATGTGTGCTCATAGAGATATAAATTCCTTTCTTAAAACTAATTTCATGGTATCCCAGAAGTTTTGGTAAGATATTTATTCATTTTCATTTGTTTCCAGGAATCTTTCAATTAATTCTTTGATTTCAGTATTGACCCAGTCGTTGTTTAGCATCATGCTGTTTAGTGTCCATGTCTTTGTGGGTTTTGGGGAAATTTTGTTGGTTTTCATATTTATTTTTATTCCACTGTGGTCTGACAATGTGCATGGCAAGATTTCAACCTTCTGAAATTTGTTTATGCTTGATTTATGGCCAAGAATTTGATCAAATTTTGAGTATGTTCCATGTGGTGATGAGTAGAATGTATATTCTGTGGTTATTGGGTGAAATAATCTGTAAGTATCCAATAAGTCCATTTGGTCAAGTGTCAAGTTTAGGTTCTGGATCTCCTTGTTGATTTTTTGCCTCGATGATCTATCTAGGGCTGTCAGTGGGGTATTTAAGTCCCCTGCTATATAATACTGTTAGAGTCAATATCTTTTTTTAGTTTATTTAATAGTTGTTTCATAAATGCTGGTGCTCCTATGTTGGGTGCATATATGTTTAGGATGGATATTTCTTGTTGATGGTGAACCTTTTATCATTATGTAGTATTCTTTTGTATCTTTTAAAATTTTGATAGCTTAAAGTTATTTTGTCTGATATTAAGATTACAACTACTGCCTTCTTTTGTGATCTACTTGACTAGAAACACATTTTCCATCCTTTAACTTTGAGTCTGTGTGCATCCCTTGTACAGAGATGAGTCTCCTGGATGTAGCAAATAATGAGGTCATGGTTTCTTATCTTGTCCACCATTCTTTGTCTTTTCAGTGGTGCATTTAGTCCATTCACATTCAGGCTAATTATTGAAATGTAGCAGTTTTTCACTGTCATGAGGTTCTTATAGAGTTGTTGTTCCTGTTTATTTGTTGTCTTTCCTTTTGTTTTGGGATTGATCCGTGTGTGTTTTCCATCTTTTCCCTGTAATCTTGTGAATAACGTTGTCATTGTTTTCTCCTTTTCTTCTGTGTTTAATACTTTCTTAAGTGTTTCGTGTAGACATGGTCTGGAGACTGCATAAGTTCTTAGGGATTGGATGTCTGGGAAAGATTTTAATTCTCCCTCACTGGTGAAGCTTAGCTTGGCTGAGTAGGTTATTCTTGGCTGAAATTGTTTATCTTTGAGAACTTTGAAGATTGGGTTCCAAGTTCTTCTAGCCTGAAAAGTTTCTGTAGACAGATCTACTGCTATTCTAATTGTTCTTCCCTGGTAGGTAGTCTGCCCTTTTCTCTTGCTGCCTTTAGGATTTTTTCTTTTATATCTACTTTGTTTAGGCAAATTATTATGTATCTGGGAGTTGGTTTTCTCATTTGTTGTCTTTCACGGATTCTCTGAAGCTCTTGTGTTTGAATTTTTGCAACACTTATGAGATGAGGGAAGTTTTCTTGAATAATTTCATGGAATGTTTGTTCCAGTGTGATCTCTGTCTCTCTTTCTGCCTCAGGAAGGCCAATTACCTTTAGGTTCGGTCTCTTGAAGTCATTGTTCATCTCTTGAAGGTTTTGTTCTTTTTAAGCTTCTTTACTATGTTTTTGACAGTTTGATTCTGTATTTTGGTCTTCAAGCTCTGAGATTCTTTTTTCTGCATCTCTAATTCTGCTTTCCATGCTTATTTATTTATTTCCATCACAGTATTCTTTAATGCTGTAATTTCAGTTATCAGCTCCTTCCTATTTTCCCCTTGTCGCTCCCCAATTCTTTTTATTCTCTCATTTAATATCTTGATATTGGGGTTTGTCACATGTGACCAGTCATCGTGGAGGCTCTTCATTGTTTGCATTCCAAAGTCTGTTTTCTCCAGTGTCTGACCTCCCAGGGATCTCTGTGAGACCTATATACTTCTTTTGGTTTCTCTTCATTTGTGCAGATTTTCCCCCCCACTTCCCCCCCCATCTTTTTTATTCTGTTGTTCAGGGGTGGAGGGGTTGCTTTTACTTCTGTTTGTTCAACCTCCTATTCTTTCTTATCCTCTGGCTTTGTTCAATTCTGGAGATGGACTGTAGGTTGGGGCAGTTCTTTTCGCAGTTTTTGAGATTTAATTAAAAGGGGAACTGCAATATGAAATCTATCTGCAGATCCCAGTATCCACTGACAAGTATATGGATAATGAGGTCATTTCAATTTTGTTGTTATATCTCAAGGCAAATAATAATGTTTTTATCCGTTTATTGTCCCGTTTTTTTCTTTGCAATCTTTTTGTGTGTGTGCCCTTATGAATAGTCAAATTTAGAAACAGTGTTAGACATTTGTTTCTATTTTCCACGGGAATTCTTAAAGAGTTTGTATATTAATGATGTGATGGGTCTATGCTGTTGCTGGGGAGATACTTTCCTCATGTGAAGAGAGCTTACATTTCCCTTTCAAAATGTTTATAGGAATTAAAAGTACATTATACTAAATCATGTGTTAATATCAATTAAAGTGTTCATTGGGTTTTCCTACTTTGCTTATTGATATGGTGTTTCTATGAATAATGTTTCTTATATTGAATTATTCTAAGTGAAAATCTTTTTGTTGTGTGGTTTCTTTTTTTGTTGTTAATAATTTTATTTACCTTTTTAATCTTTATTAAATCATGATATATTGACATAAAATTAGCTTTTTAAAAAACAGCACTATCCAGATATAATTCACATACCATACAGTTGACCCATTCAAAGTGTACAGCTCAATGGTTTTTAATATATTCACCAAGTTGTAAAAACATCCCCCAAGTATTTTAAATTCCATATGCTGGCTTATGTCATCCGCCATTTTGCATGAAGCAAGGTGACCTCCACGTTCCCTGAGTGTCTTCTTCGCTTCTGCCTAGACTGCCCCTTGACCACAGACATGTCTCAGGATCTGGAGTTGCGGCCGTGGCGGTGGCAGCTTCCACCAGCGCGGAGCAGGTGGCGGCAGAGGAAGCGGCAGCCGAGGAGGCCTTCACGACTTCTGCTCCCTGCCACCCGGCATGGGCCTCAACCAGAACCGCGACCCCATGGGTCCCGGCGTGGGCCAGGGAGGCTCCAAGCCTCTGATCCTGCCGTGGCCTCTGCATCATCATCATCAGCAGCAGCAGCAGCAGCAGGAGCAGCAGCAGCAGCAGCAGCAGCCGCCGCCACTGCACCAGCCGCCACCCACCAGCAGCCTCCGCCACTGCAAGACTCATCTAAGCCCGTCATTGTTCAGGGACTTGGCTCCACTCCAGGAGTAGGCAGCAAGTCGCCAGCCTTTGGCTTGGCCCCGCCCACCACCCCTCTGACCTCCAAGGCCCCTCCAGGGCTGGGGTCAGGTCTGACTCCAACCCAACCCACTGCCTGCCGTCACTTCAGCCCCTCCCGGGGAGCCTTCCCCCCTCCCCCCACTCCTCCGAGTGGCGGGATCACGACCATTCCCCCTCAGGCCGGAGGCCCACTGCCTCCACCCGCGGGTGTTCTGGGACTGGGGCCTAAGCAAGGTCCAGGCCCCGGTGACCCCAAATGTAGCAAAATGCCTGGCGGTCCGAAGCCCGGGGCGGCCCAGGCCTAAGCACTCCTGGCGGCCACCCCAAGCTGCCGCATCGGGGTGGCGGGAAGCCCTGCGGGGCCACCAGCACCACCTGCCCTACCACCAGCAGTACCACCAGGGTCCCCTGCCCAGTGGCCGCAGCGAGGAAAAGATCTCAACTTGGAGGGATTTAAAGCCAATTTGTCTCTCTTGAGGAGGTCTAATGAGAAAACTTACAACGCTGTCAGTTGTTTGTTGGGAATCTACCTGCTGACATGACAGAGGATGAATTCAAAAGACTGTTTGCTAAATATGGAGAACCAGGAGAAGTTTTTATCAACAAAGGCAAAGGATTCGGTTTTATTAAGCTTGAATCTAGAGCATTGGCTGAAATTGTCAAAGCTGAACTCGATGCTACACCCATGAGAGGTAGACAGCTTCAGGTCTGCTTTGCCACACATGCTGCTGCCCTTTCTGTTAGTAATCTTTCAACTTATGTTTCCAATGAGCTTTTGGAAGAAGCTTTTAGCCACTTTGGTCCTATTGAAAGGGCTGTTATAATTGTGGATGATCGTGGAAGATCTACAGGGAAAGGCATTGTTGATTTGCTTCAAAACCAGCAGCAAGAAAGACATTTGAACGATGCAGTGAAGGTGTTTTCTTGTTGACAACAACTCCTAGTCCAGTCATTGTGGAACCACTTGAACAATTCAGAGGTCCTCAAACTTTTAAAACAGGGGGCCAGTTCACTGTCCCTCAGACCGTTGGAGGGGTGGACTATAGTTTAAAAAAAAACTATGAACAAATTCCTTTTTTTTTGTAAACTACAGTCTGCCCCTCCAACGGTCTGAGGGACAGTGAACTGGTCCCCTGTTTTAAAAGTTTGAGGATCCCTGAATTAGATGATGAAGATGGTCTTCCTGAAAAACTTGCACAGAAGAATCCAGTATCAAAAGGAGAGGGAAACTCCTTCTTGCTTTGCCCAGCATGGTACATTTGAGTATGAATATTCTCAGCGATGGAAGTCCTTAGATGAGATGGAAAAACAGCAAAGGGAACAAGTTGAAAAAAGCATGAAGGATGCAAAAGACAAATTGGGAAGTGAAATGGAAGATGCCTATCATGAACATCAGGCAAATCTTTTGCACCAAGATTTGATGAGACAACAGGAAGAATTGAGACACATGAAAGAACTTCATAATCAAGAAATGCAGAAACGTAAAGAAATGCAGTTGAGGCAAGAAGAGGAACGACATAGAAGGGAGGAAGAGATGATTCATCAATGTGAGATGGAAAGACGCCAAAGAAAGGAAAGTTATACCCGGATGGGCTACATGGATCCAAGAGAAAGAGACATGAGAATGGGTGGCGGAGGAGCAATGAACATGGGAGATCCCTATGGTTCAGGAGGCCAGAAATTTCCACCTCTAGGTGGTGGCGGCATAGGTTACGAAGCTAATCCTGGAGTTCCACCAGCAACCATGAGTGGTTCCATTATGGGAAGTGATATGCGTACTGAGCGCTTTGGGCAGGGAGGTGCGAAACCTGTGGGTGGACAGGGCCCTAGAGGAATGGGACCTGGAACTCCAGCAGGATATGGTAGAGGGAGAGAAGAATATAAAGGTCTGAACAAAAAAATCCCAATTTTAGATGTGATAATCTAGGCTTTCATTCCAGTTTGTTTTTGTCTTTTCTTGTTTAGATACCAATCTTTAAAAATGCTTGCATTTTAGTAAAAACTACCTTTTGAATGGATGTTAGCAGTTTATTGACCTAATATTTGTAAATGGTCTGTTTCGGCAGGTAAAATTATGTAATATAGCATTTGAAACAGGAGAAATTTTTTTTCCTTTTTCTTTTCTTTTCTTTTCTTTTTTTCTTATTTTTTTTACTGTATAATGTCCCTCAAGTTCTGGCAGTGTACTTTGTGCCACTGAGTTTCCAAAGTGTACCCATTTTTTTTTTTTTACTGTGCTTCAAATAAATAGTTATAATATTGGTCTTCAACTTTGCCATTCATGTTTCTATGCACATTAGGCTAGGTATTCCACTTTGAAAGCATGAGCGTGTCTAGGCTTTTGAATGGCATATGGGAAATGTATCTGGAAAATGTATCTGGGAAATGTATCTGGAGGCGAAGTATTGCTTTCTAGAAATAACTGCCCCCCTTCTCCCTCCCCTGTTTTAAAAAGAAGAAATGCATATTGAAGTAGTTTCATGATTTGTTTGGCATTGTAGGAAGCAAGCCGGTGCTAAGTATTTTTAAATTGTTATGTAAGCAAAGCTAACTATAAATCTTCATTCAGGAATATGTATTAAGATTGTGGAATGGGTGTAAGACAATTGATAGAGGGTGAAAGTGGGTTTGGTTAACTGGATCTTTTATGGCCCTATGGTCTATCCTTTCCTTGGAAGCTTTTGAAAAGTGGAAAGATCATTTTGTTGCATTTCCCCATTTCTTGTTTTTAAAAGAACAAATCTCAAGCCCTACAAATGGCTTGTATTGAACTTTTAAATTTGAATTAAAGATTGTTAAACATGAAAAAAAATTCCATATGCTTGTTTTACTTAGGAATTTTACATCTATACTAACAAATAAGATTGTATACACAAAAATGGCTAGTTTTGTGTGTTGATTTCTTATTTTTTAGAGACAACATCTCTTTATTAGCAATTAGAACAAAGTTGCATTTTAACTTTTGAAACATAATGACACTGGCTCAGTGAAAAAAAGAGTAGCATCAGATAAACCATTTGGTGTCTGTCTTTATTTTAGGACCTTTGAAAGTGTCAATAACCTGATGTAAATGAAGCCTAAAGGTGTCTCCTGCATTTTCTAACATTCTTATAGTTAGAGGTTTTACACTGAGGTCTTTGATTTACTTAGAATTGATTTTTGTGCATGGTGGTACGTAGGTGTCCTATTTCATTCTTTTCCATGTGGCTGGTCAGTTTTCCCAGCACCATTTGCTGAATAGGTTCTCCTCTCCCCAGTGGTGGTTGGTGAGCCTTTGACAAAAGATGAGTTGGTTGAGAAATTGAGGTGTTGCTTTTGGAATCTCTATCCTCTTCCATTATTTTTCATATGCCTATCCCTATACCAATACCAGACTGTTTTGATTATTGTAGCCTTATAATAGAATTTAAAGTCTGGGAGTGTGATGCCTTCCACTTTGTTTCTTTTGCTGAGGAATGTTTTGGCTATTTTTGGTCATTTAAGTTTCCATATGGATTGTTGTATTGTCATTTCCAGGTGTGAGAAGAATGATGATGGTAATTTAATGGGTATTGTGTTGAATCTGTAGATTGCCTTGGATAGATGGACAAGCTCCTTGGGATCCTTTCAGTTTTTTCAGATGAGGAAACTGAAGTACAGATTGGGTATGTGTCTTGACCAGAACAGATCAACAGAAGTTGCAGCCTGGAAAAACTGGAACTCGGACCCAAAGCCCCGTAGTCTTCATGTAGGATTCTTTCAATTATACCCTATTTTTTATAAACAGAAAGGATAGTGGATTTCATATAATGGCTACCAAAATGTAGCAATAATGTGGTAGAGTAAACCTGGAACCCCATATTGGTTTTAAGAGATTAACCTATGAATCAGAGATTATTGTGGATTTACTGTTCCTTTGAAAGAAGGCCTAGGAAACTTAATGGACTGCAGTTTATATTAGTCAGTATTCTCTTCTTGTAAGTAACTGAAAACCAATGAAAATTAGTGTAGGTTGGGCAAAGTGACTCAACCCTGTAATCCCAGCACTTTGGGAGACCAAGGTGAGGCTACTGCCTGAGCCCACGGTTTCGAGAACAGCCCAGGCAACATAGTGAGACCTCATATCTACAATAAATCAAAAAATTAACTGGGAATGGTAGCCAGCACCTGTAATTCCAGCTACTTGGAAGGCTGAGGTGGAAGGATTGCATCCCCACAGGTCAATGCCGAGGTGGCCATGAGTGCGCCACTGCACTGCAGCCTGGATAATGGAGTGAGACTCCAACTCAAAAAAAAAAAAAAAAAAAGGATCTATTTTGAGTTAATTTTTGTGTATGGGGATAGATAGGGGTCTTGTCTGAATCTTCTCCATGTGGTCAGCCAGTTTTCCCAGCACTATTTACTGAATAGGTTCTCCTTTCCCCAGTGGTAGGTGGTGGAGGCTTTGCCGAAGATGAGTTGGCTGAGAAATTGAGGTTTTGCTTCTGGAATCTCAATTCTATTCCTTTGGTCCATATGCCTGTTCTTTGACCAATAACAAGCTGTTTTGATTACTGTAGCTTTATAGTATAGTTTACAGTCTGGTAGTGTGATAACTCATGCTTTTTTTTTTTTGCTGAGGATTGTTCTGGCTATTGTTGGTCATTTGTGTTTCCATATGAATTCTTGTATTGTTTTTTATAGATCTAAGAAGAATGTTGCTGGTAATTTGACGGGTATAGATTCAAATCTGCGATTGCCTTAGGTGAAAAGGGAACACTTCTACACTGTTGGTGGGAATGTAAATTAGTGCAGCCTCTGTGGAAATCAGTGTGGCAATTCCTAAAGGCTCTAAAAATCAACCTTCCATGTGGCCCTGCAATCCCCCTACTGGGAATATACCCTGAAGAACTCAAATCACTCTATAAAAAAGATACTTGCACAAGCATTTTTATCGCAGCATTGTTCACCAACCATGCTGTCTATCAAAAGATGACTGGATTAAAAAATGTGGTACATATACACAATGGAATATTATGCAACTATAAAAAAGAACAAAATCATAAATTTTCAACCTGGATGGAATTAGAGTTTATAATACTGAGTGATCTCTCACAGAAACAAAGATCTGAGCATCACATGTTCTAATTCATAAGTGGACCTCGAACAATCATCGTAATACTATAAGAAAAGGATTGACAGTGACAGGAAACTATGGGGGGTCAGGGATGCGAAGAGAGGTGCGATTAATGGTAATCGATATCTGCCTGGGGATGGTGGACACACCTCATCAACAAGGGTACCTGCACAATGCATATTTGTATACCTAACCCTTAGCTGTACCCCACAATTTTAAAACAAAAAATATGTAGTAAAAAAAAAAGAAAATTAGTGTAAGCAAAAAAGGAGGATTTAGTGATTTTGTGATAGAGAATTTCGGGAATGTATTGATGTCAGGTGTAGCTGAATCCAGGGACTTGTCATCACTGCACTTTTTTCAAGTTTCCTTCAACTTCTTGGCCTTTTGTTCCTTTATTGATTATATTTTGGAAGGTATTGGGACCATCAGCATATCCAGAATCATATCCTTTCATCTTCTAATACTAGCAGAATAAAACATGCATCTTCATCAGATATAATGAACCATTCTAAGGACTGTGATTAACTGGGCTTAATCACATGCTCATTGCTGATTGAATTGCTGTGTTGATTAGGTCACAGTCAATGAACACTTTCAGCAATCAAAGTAATCTTTACACATAAATTTTAAAGAATATTATCCCATAGAATCACACAAATCACTGAATCCCCTTTTTTTCTTAAACTAATTTGAAATGGTTCCTGTGACTTGCTAGCACAAGAATGCTGACTAATACAAATCAGTTTATAAATAATAACAACAATTTCTCCCATTTCCAAAGAACACTCCAAGGCTGCTGCTACTCCCCTCCTGGGTACTCTGTGACCTCAGTGGCTTTTCTCTGTCCTTTGCTTTCTGTCCTCTCAGCACTAAAAACAAAATGAAACAAAATGTACCTAATCTCTGGACCTGTTTTAAGGTTCCCTTTATATTGTCTTGTTCC